GAGAGCTTACTGGGTTTAGGGTTTAGGGTTTAGGGTTTAGGGTCGATAGGGGTAGTTTTCTAAATTAGGGTCCCTCTTAGGGTTTAGGGTTTAGGGTTTAGGGTCCTTTTGATAAGGGTGCCGTACTATAAATTAGGGTTTAGGGTTTAGCCTTTAGGGTTTAGGGATTAGGGTCCCTCTTAGGGTCCTTTTACCCTAAACCCTAAACCCTAAACCCTAAAATAAGGATGCCGTACTCGTACTATATTGGGGCCCCTATTAAAAGGGACCCTAATTTCGAGAACTGCGTCTGATGTTCCAGGCTCCAGGATTACAGCGAGAATAGGTACCCATAGGCCCCAAAGTAGCTCCTTTTCGGGGTTCATATTTAGAATCCTATAAGGTAATCCAAAGTAGTTCCTTTTTGGGGAGTTCATGTTTAGAATCCTATAAGGTAATCCCAAAAAGGAACTCCCATGGGGCCTATGGGGGTTTAGGGTTTAGGGTTTAGGGTTTAGGGTTTAGGGTTATATAGACTGGCACAGATTGGCTCACCGTTCAGGCATTGGCGCAGTGCGAAAGAACCGCCCTGCTCCTCTGAGCGCCAGAATTGCCGCTGGCATGTGATTGCCCATAGGCCCTAATGTAGTTAGTTCCTTTTTGGGGTTCATATACAAAGAATCCTACAAGGTAACCCCCAAAAGGAACTACCATGGGGCCTATGGGTACGCTCCGGAAAAGCCGCACGTACTTGTCTTGTGGTGCGTGGCGGATTCTGCTTGCAGTGAATTTTGATTGCCATTTGGTGAAGCCTTAAATCTGCCCGTCTTTGGTTCCAGCCTTTCCAAACCTGTTTTTTTACAGCCTTCTCCATTCGTGTCCATACACAATGAAGCAACATTCATGGCTCTCATGGGCCATGCTGTGGTCGGAGTCTCAGCGCATGGGACGCAGCAGTGCGTGGCTTTGGGGGTTTCGGGGCTTTGCGTTCCAATCTTGCACTGAGGGCGATGCTGCCCGCGGCTGCTGCGATGAAGCTCGCACAGGCGGGCGGCAATCGGAGGTAATTAATATCGGGGCCGAAATAAAGGAGGTTCCGCAGTATAGTTCTAGTATAATATATCACAAAACCCTAATTCTAACTATCAAGGCCCCTACACTACTGTGCTTCGGTTCTTCGTCGTTGTCTCAGAGCAGGAGCCGAACGCCACTTCGATGGAAGGGCCTGGGAGCCAGGCCCACGTCGGAGGTGCTCGTGCTCTCCTCTCTCGCTCCTCGAAGCTGTCCAGAGACCAAGATCGCGATGCCGAGACGTCAGATGTGGCTATTTTCTCGAAGAAGTCTTGGAAGGCGGTTGGTAAAGCCTTTGAGTCCGGAGGCAGTGCGGTGGGCGATGGTCTTGTCAAGACAGGCAAGGCGGCCGTCAAGGGAACGGCAAAGGTAGGCACGGTGGCCTATAAGGGCATGGTCAACACAGGCAAGGCTGTGGTGAATGTCGGCAACGCAATTGTAAACCCCGGTACCTTCAGTTTCCACACGCTTACAAATGCAGGGATGAATGTTGGCACCAGTGCCTTCAACAGCGCCTTTGCCGTCGGGGGCAGTGTGTTCAGAGGGGCCGTAAGCACTGGCAATGCCGCGGCATCCGCTGCCGTGCAGTTTGGAGAAACTGTGGGAGACGCAGCAGTGGAAGTGGGCACGGCGGTGGTCGAGAGCGCACAGGAGGTCGCAGAAGCAGCGGTGGACCTGGCAGGTACGGTGTTGGAGCACGCCAAGAAAGGGGTTGAGCAGGGAGTCAAAATGGTCAACAAAGTCGGGAAGGCGATTGGCGACAAGATAACAGAGCTCGGAGAGGAGGTCGCCAAGCTTGGGCCATTGGTTGCAGGCCTGGCGAAATCTGCCTGGGATGAAATCAAAAACTTCGTCAGCTGCCTTCTCGAAGGCTTGACGCTCTGCTCCGTCTTGATCGGTGAGTATTGCGACTGCGACGCGGGGAGCTACGTCAAGTTTTCGACGGGCGGCATGGACATGAAATGTGTCTTCAAGGTGACCGCTGAATTCGGGAAGGGCTATGGGGTGACGGCGACTTCCACCGGGAAGTACGGCGTGATTACCGAGGCCGGAGTGGTCATGCTCCCCGGGAAGCAGCTCGAGCAAAGCTTCAAGGCGGCGGGGTCACCCCTCAGAGCCCGGAAGGCCATGGACGATTATTTATCGCCCGCACCAGCAGGGTCCTGTGAAACAAGCTTGGAGGTGGCTGTCGATGGTGTGGTGCAGTTTGCCCCGGTCATAACCGTGAATGTGAACACCGAAGGCAAGACTCAGATGACGATCAGTGGAAGCGTTCGTTCATCGTTTCTCGTCCCACAGAGATCTGTCATGCGCCATGAGTTTTTCCACGGCATCGCCTTGTAGACAAAGCTTTGTGTAGACATGCACTGAGATCTGGAGTAGCCGTGTCGAGGATTGACGCCATTGTCAAGGCAACGGGCAGCTGCCAGTTCAAGGCCGAGAAGCGCTTTCCCGAGAAGCCTCTGAAGAAGGTCATCTGTGCCAAAGGCTTCTGCCTGGTCATCGCACTCCAGATGGTGGCCGAGCTCGTGTTGAAGGGCACGCTGACCGGAACCATCACGACGTCCTCCGATGCGGATTTCGACATCTACGGCACCGTGGACGTCAGCCCGGAGGGTGATGCCGCCGTGACCTTCAACACCCCGACGATCACACACAAGGACCGCAGAAGTTCATATCTTTTTTTTGGATGCCTTGTTTTGCCTTGCTTGATGTGCATTGCTGCATGTAGGTCGCACGATCCGAGTCGTAGTCTTAGTGGCTGCATGGGGCCAGTTAGACCCGAAATTCTCAAGTCCGTAAGAAAGCCCTAAACTTGCTGCTGGTTCCTCATCAGGAGGGCTGGGCGATTGGTGCCAGTGCTATGGCTTCTTTGCGCATTGGCGCCGGTCCGGTCCTCACGGTCCCGAGCTCAGCTTGCCTGGTTTTAGGTGCCACGTAAGCTGTGGGGGTTCCTTGTTAGAATTCTAGTATAGTGGGCCCCAAAACCCTATTCTAATTATGAAGGGCCCCTACACCCTAAACCCTTATAGTAGCCCTTATAGAACCCTTTAAGGAGCCCTTTAAAGGGACCCTTTTGTTTTCTAATTATGAAGGCCCCGACATTGCGTGTGTGTGAAACGAAGCCAGGTCTGGCCCATGCCAGGTGGCTGGGCTGCACTCAGAAAGGGTTTAGGGTTTAGGGTTTAGGGATTTAGGGATTTAGGGATTTAGGGATCTAGGGTTTAGGGGTTTAGGGGTTTAGGGTTTACGGGCTCGTGTGTTTTTCTTCTTTTTTTTTTCGCCTCAACAACGCACCTGAGCTGCAAAGCCCGAAAGCACCGGCAACCCGAGGCGTGCCGGTGAATTTCAAGCCCATGGTCAACGCGCAAGCCCAAGCCCAGGGCACTTTGGAGTACAAGTCGTATGCGTCACTCCTCCAGGACTTGTCTTTCTCTCTTTCCCTCTCTTGTTCTCACGCTCATGTTCTCTCAGTCTCTTTCATTGTTGTGTTTCGTGTTTTGCAGGACTCTCAGCGAGTCCTGGCAGACTCCAACATGACCTCCGTCGTCAGCGAGAACATGACCGAGGGAGCCCCCAGGGAGCTGAGCACGTGCGATGCGGCTGTCCGAAGCTCAATTTTCCACACCTTATTCGGATGAGTTCCGTTGGTTCAGCGATGCTTCGGGTGTAGGACCTGGTCTAGGGGTGTTTGGAGTTGAGGGTTCAGAGCTTGCAGGCCGTGTCAATCTACGCCGACGCGGACATCACGGCCTTTGCACTGCCGCCCGCAATCCGGGGCCACTTCAATACCAAAACCATCCAGGACGAAATCAAGAAAGCCGTGTTGGCTGGTGCCCAAGCCTTTCTGGCCGTGATCAGTAAAACGGCTAACTGCCTGGGCCTGGACAAAGTGACAGAGAAAATCAACTCTGCCGCCAACAGCGCCTCAGAAGCGCTTGCAGGTGGGAGTTTCCAAAAACAAGGGGTACCTTATTTTGGGGTCCTTATAATAAGGATCCGACTATGTAGGGTAGTATACTAGGGTCCCCTATTGGAAACCCCCAGGTCTCATCCCCGAAATCGGACTGGACTTCAATCTCAAGGCCATTCAGCTGCTGTCCCCAACGACGTTCTGGTGCAAGGAGGTCTACACGACTCCTGGCTTCGAGGACGCGCCCTGCGCCGCGGAGCTTGGGTGCAAGACGGCTGGCCGGAACTACGAACCTCCGGAGCCCGGGATCGAAGTGCCTCCAGCTGAGCAGGTCAAGGAAAAGGATCTGCCGACGATGTTCTCGGCGACGTGCTACGATATCCCGATGGGAGATCACTGGATCCAGCTTGGGGAGTGGCGCTTGGCGGCCAGAGACCACAACCACTTCTCGATCTCGCACAAGGAGCCTGCAGTGTAATAGAGAGGCCCAGTATAATGGGCCCCAAAACCCTAATCTCGTTATCAGGGCCCCTACATTACCCCAGCCCCACAGACTCCACTGCAAGGCCTTCGGGGACCTCAAGGTAGGAGCATTGTAAGCTCCATCTTGCACCAGTCAGGGAATCCAGACGGCGCAGATTTTCCGGAGCGATGGCACCCTTCACCCCGGTCCTCGCAGTTCTTGGGGCGCATGGCACTTGAGCCGAGTCCGCAAGAGTGTGTGGAGTTTGGGATTCACTTGCACCTCCAAGCGCTCTTCCAAACACCCTTCCTGTGATAGCCGGTGAGGGGCACTGGTCGCGGGGCTGGAACGTCTTCGACTTGCCATCTACGGTGTCGTGATAAGCCAACTTTCGACCATGACGACGATGCTGCTGCTTCCGCTGAGGAAGATGAAGATGATGATGAAGAAGACAAATAATAATACTAAGAAGAAGAAGAAGATGATGATGCTACTGGTAATGCCGATGCCATTACCGATCATCCGCCGCTGCCGTTGCTCCTGATGCCGATGAAGCTGCTGCCGTGCTGCTGCTGATGACGATGGTGGTGAAGCTGTAATGAAGATGGCGACGAAGAACAAGCATACCATGCTGGTAGCGATGAGTTACTCGGCATGCTGTGACGTACCGGTGATGGGACGAGGATGCTATGTCTTGTCCCCAGCACGAAGCACAGGCCTGCGCGGCCGCGGTAAATCTCAGCACCCGCAGTGTGAGGAATGCCTTTCCTTCCGGCGAGTCCAACGGAATCGAGTTCGGATACCAGTTCATCCAGATCGGTGCCTTCCGTCTTGGTGCTGTGGACGACAACCACTTCTCAATCTCGCGCTCCCGTCGCAAAGAGTGCAACTTTTGCGGATTGTAATGTAACAGAACGTAATCATGTAGGGCCCTTAAGAATTAGAACAGGGTTTTTGGGGCCCAGCCTACTAGAAATTGCACTAAGGAGCCCCCCCCAAAATAGTACCAGATGAACGTTTCCCCGGAAGCGTTTCGGGGAGTCCGAAAATCTCCCTGGCGGAGGCACAGGGACGGACAGACCATTCAGATCTTCCGTCAGGATGGCACGCTGCATCCTGGACCGCGGACCGACGCTAGGCGAGAGTCGTGCGTTTTCGGTACACTCTTTGGAGCCCCTAAACCCTAAACCCTAAACCCTAAACCCTAAACCCTAAACCCTAAACCCTAAACCCATGGAGCTGATTCGTGCAGATAAGGACTGGAGCACCTGGGATCGGCCCGTGGGGAACCCTGTGGGGATCACCTTCGGAGACAGGCTCCTTGGAGTGTCAGACTTGTCAGGCCCGCAAGCCTGACATGAGCGCCCTGCGCCAGTGGTGTACCCATAGGCCCCATAGTAGTTCCTTTTTGGGACTACCTTATAGGGTTCTAAACATGAACTCCCCCAAAAGGAACTGCTATGGGGCCTCTGGATAGGCCTAAACCCTAAACCCTAACCCTAAACCGGTTCCCTGCGCTCCGAGGTTTATGCAGCTGGGCAACTTCCGGCTTGGGGACGCGGACGGGGGCCACTTTGTGGTGTCTCACAAGAACCTAGGCCTCGGAGTACCATACTTTAACACTTTTTTTGGGGGACCTGTTCCTTAGAGGAACCATTATGAAATAACAGTCTATACTTTTTCTCTAAACCCTAAATCCTAAACCCTAAAACCTAAACCCTAAACCCTAAACCGCCTGGTGACTTCACAGCCCAGGAACGGATGGACGTCCCAGATCTACCGTTCTGACGGCACCCGGCATCCCGGGCCTCGCAGGGACTGGAGCCCTCGCATTCTGCACCGCTGGCCCATGGCGTGGAGTTGCTGGGTTGTCTGTTGGGATCTTTTTTGATTTCCCTGACTATTTTGTAGAGAACCATAATTAATAGTAAATAATTTTCAGGGGGCTTGAAAAGGACAACTTAGGTTGCAAGGGCATCGCAGAGATGGCCTTCGGACCCTGTAAGTCGGACTTCGGAGCATTTGGTGACCGCTTCATCCAGCTCGGGCAGTGGCGCATTGCGGCCATTGATGCCACGCACTTGTCGGTGTCCCACCAGAGTGGCCACACCGCCCAAATCTACCGGGCCGATGGCACCCTTCACCCCGGGCCCCGCCATGATTTCGGCTCCTGGCACCGTCCCACGGGCTTCCCCTACGGCATCACCTTCGGCCCCGGCTTCATTCAGATTGGGAACTTCCGGTTGGGAGCCATCGATGACATCCACTTCAGCGTCTCTCACCGAGACCACAGGAGGACGGCCCAGATCTACCGGAGCGACCAAACCACGCACCCTGGGCCGAGGGGCGACTTCCATGCCTGGGGCCTTAGCGCGGGGCCGGCTGTGGGCATCACCTTCGGGGATCGTTTCCTTCAGATCGGGAACTTCCGCCTCGGTGATGCGGACGGAGGACACCTGGCCTTGACCCACGAGAACGGCAACATCCTTCACATTTTCAGAAGTGATGGCCACAACTTCTACCATCAGACAGGCCACGCCGCCATGGTGAACCAGCGCTATCAGCACCAGCACTGCAGGAGCATCTATGCGGTCCTGGGCAGCTGTCCCGGGATTGCCACGGGTGAGAACTTCATGGAGATTGGGGACTGGCGCCTCGCCGCCATGGATGCCAACCACTTCTCTGTCTCACACAGGGACGGCCAGACTTCTCAGATCTACCGATCCGACGGGACCCGCCATCCTGGGCCAAGGACATCCTGGAACAGCTGGGGTTGGGAGCCCAAGAAAACCTCGACTGGAACGGTGCACTTTGGCGACCGCTTCATCCAGTTCGGCAACTTCCGGATGGGTGCTGTGGACGACAACCACTTCTCCATCTCCCACAACGGCGGCCAGACGATCCAGATCTTCCGTGCGGATGGCACCTTACATCCCGGACCTCGTACTGACTGGGGCTTGTGGCACGACTCCCGCCAAGTTCTGGACGTACCATTGGGCATCACCTTTGGGGATCGCTTCGTGCAGATCGGAAAGTTCCGAGTTGGGGACGTGGACGGCGGGCACTTCTCCGTCGCGCACGTGGGTGGACAGACCATTCAGATCTTCCGAGCCGATGGGACCTTGCACCCCGGCCCACGCAGCGACTGGACAACGGTCGGTCGCCCAATGCATCAGTGCAGGGTTGCAAATGTGGAGGTGTAGCTGAGCGGCACTCCTTCGGTTTGTTTTCGGTCGTACCCTGAGGGTGCGTCGTTGCCTGCAATCCACCCCGATGCTGTGCACGCTGAGTTGCCGCATCTCGGTTAGGCAAGGCACCACTTGATGGATCGATTCGATTCGTTTCTGTTTTCTTTTCGGCTCTAAAACCTTCTTGGCACCCCCGAAGGGCGTGCTCTGTTGCAACCTTCCAGGGTGTACCCGCCACGATGTCTCGCTTGTGGCAAGGCGGCACTCGAAAGAGCCGACGAGGGGTTCAAAAAAGATGGCGCTCCGCGGAAGACTTGGAAGAGGGGCGCCACACTAGACTTCCCAAAACCTACAGCAAAGCACGGAATGGCGAAAGGGGTAGGCACAAGACATCACCGAGCGGCGCTGAGCCTCCGACCTCCGCCTTCAGAGGCCGGAGGTCTTTGCTCAGAGTTGACTTAGGAGGTAACCAAAAACCCTAAACCTTCTAAGCTGAGCTGCCTTCCTCAGAAACCTGATGAACTCCATGGACACTTATCCTTCTGAGAGTCCTTTTCGGATGGCTTGTGCCAGGAGACGACAACAACAGCAAGCCCGACAACAACAGCAAGCCCGACGTCTCGAAACACGACCACCAGCATGACTTGAAAGGTTTCAGGATATGGTTTGGGGTTTAGGGTTTAGGGTTTAGGGTTTATGGACCTGAAACCCTGAAGCCTAAACCGTTTTTCCTGGGACGCAAGCCATGGTTCCAGAGAACCGGGACGAGAAGGCCGGGATGTTTCAAAGAGTGCCAGGTACTTACGGGATAGGCTTTATGCAGGCCCGGTTCTACCTAAACCCCCAAAAGTACTAAGTAGGTAAAATAATAGCCCAAAACCTATATAGGGCTATTATTCTACATGCTTTTGGGGTCCAGGTAGAAGGGAAGTTAGTTTTGGACTTGTTATTAAGAAGGGTCAGCGGCTAACGGTCTGGGTCCGACAAGTTGCTCAAACGACCAGGGGGATCACCTTGCCGATGGGGTGTTTAGAATCCCATTTTCACATAAACCGTAGTCCCGGATCATTAACCCACCCTTTACTTGCTACAAGTATAAGGGTTGTAAGAGGGATCCTAACATAGAAGCTCAAAAATACAGGGTGCCATACATCAGTGGTCTACATGAACCTAACCCGGCACCGTCACACCTAAACCATGACATCCTAAGCCTAAGCTGTACGTCCTAATCCCTAGACCCCAACTTACCAAGCCTGCACTGCCCATATGTCTCGAAGCCCTAAACCGTCTACGTAAGTCTAGAATGCCCTTTTACCTTCAGCCAAGCCCTAAAGCCTAAACCACCGTAGACATCCCTTAAGCCTCTAAGGTAAGTCCCTTGTCTCTGCTCCGGAAGGATTCGCTGGCAAGGGCGGCATCATGGGCGCCGGAACGCTGAGTCGAAAATGAACCCAGGGCTCAGGGAGTGAGCTGAGGGCTTCTTCACATCAGAACCGCCGACCTTTCTGATCCCCAAAAAGTCCCATACAAAGGCTTTCTGATGATAAGGACCTGCAGAAGGGAAGAGTAGGTTTTACAGGTAGTTTTAAGGTACGGCGCGGGGTTTCGGATGCCGGCATTGCAGGGGACGTGGTTTGCACCAGACCTGAGTTGAAAGCCTTGCTTTTGGGCAATCTTTGGTTTCGCCAGTGCCTTCTATCAATGAGTTCACAAGGACGCTGTTCTTCCATACACGTCCCCACACACTGAAGCGCCATAGCTCTTATGGGCCATGATGTGGTCAGAGTCTCAGCGCACCTACTTGTCAAACCACCATATTCGGATACGAGAGTCATGCTGACCGCTTGAGGTTTGGGGTTTAGGAGTTTAGGGTTTGGTTGACACACCTGTAACATGTAAGCCGGACAGGGCTGTTTGCGAAGAGAGGTTGGCTGTTCGTGATTGGGGTCCTCAATCAGTGAATCAGGGTACTTGTTACTGTACCTTCAACTTCCACGATCCTTTGGCGAATGTCGATCGGAACCCTAAACCCTAAACCCCTAAACAGTAGTCAGTCAAAGTCACATACATTTCCTCTATGTGCCTTCTAATTATGATCGAGGCCCCGTCATGAGATACCTAACTGGAACACGTGGGAGTTTCCGAAAATAAGGGTTCCTTATTTTGGGGGTCCTTATAATAAGGGTCCTACTATTTAAGGTACTATATTAGGGTCCCCTATTTCGGAAACTCCCATGTGGCCTAGAGCTCTAGAACAGCCTGCACATCACCTCGTGTGCGTTCACAGCTCCCGCAGGGCTTCAGCTCAGAGCAGCTGTCAGTGGCGAAGCAGAGTACCCACGAGCTGCGCAGAAAAGTTGTTCCCATCGGGCTTCCACGCAGAAGATGGCAATCTTAGCTAGGTACATACTATGCCACCAATCCGGCCTTATCCATGAGAGCCTCCTGCGTCTCAAGCAAGACCGCCAACATTGAAAGGCTTCAGCTTGATTGTGATAATGTAGCACTTTGCAATATTCTGTTGCGTTATCTTTGGAGTCCATGTCGACTCAAACCATGGTCCCCGAGAGCCATGACGAGAAGGTCCGGGCACGTCGGAATGCGTCGGCTCACGGTAAAAGTGCCAACCCCTTGAACCCTTGGGTTTAGAGTTTAGGGTTTGGGGTTTAGGGTTTACTGTAAAAATGCAAACCCCTTGAACCCTTGCGAAGCACTGGTACCCTGACCGCCAGGGGGCCACCACGGCGCAGCTCCTGCAGGATACGCTTGCAGTCTGGGTTCAGGGCCTTGGGGACTGTTAGGGCCTTTGGGGTTTTGGGGGAAGGTTCCCCTTTCTCTACTGGGATCTTGACTGTCCTTTTTATTGGGTGGGGTGGAGGGGCATGAGTCAGGGGTCTGGATTGCCGTCAACCCCAATCCCTAATCCCTAAACACCCTCATACCCGAAACCCTTAACCCTAGACCCTCAACCCTGACCCTTAATCTCAAATCGGTAAACACCCTTAACCCTAGACCCTCAACCCTAACCCTTAATCCCATATCCCGAAACACTCTTAACCCTAGACCCTCAACCCCTAATCCTTAATCTCAAATCCGTAAACACCCTTAACCCTAGACCCTCAACCCTAACCCTTAATCCCAAATCCCTAAACACCCGTAACCCTAGACTCTGAAGCCTAATCCTTAATCCCAAATCCCGAAACACCCTTATAACCCTGGACCCTCAACCCTAATCCTTAATCCCGAATCCCTACACACCCTTAACCCGAGACCCTCAACCCTAACCCTTAATCTCAAATCCGTAAACACCCTTAACCCCAGACCCTCAACCCTAACCCTTAATCCCAAATCCCTAACCACCCTTAACCCTAGACCCTCAACTCTAATCCTTAATCCCAAATCCCTAAACACCCTTAGCCCTAGACCCTCAACCCTCAACCCTCAACC